ACCCCATGTATAGCTTTACCATGATTTACCTCAATCAAAGAGCAAGGCTGCTGTGCACGATATTGAAGACGTTCTTGTTTCCAGGCATGACTGGATGCATGACTTATCTTTCAGATGGTTGCATGTGATTCCTCCTCCAGGATAAAATTCGGATTTTTTCCGCTCGCCGTGAAATGTTTGAAGCCCTGCCCATGGGTAACTCATGGCAAAACGCACAAGTGCTTGATGCATGGGACTATCTGTGGAAACACCTCATGGCAAAATTAGCCGGCCTGTGGCATGGCTGTGCATGACAAAGTTTGACCGCGAGCTCTGGGAAACACGGTCAGGTTGACGTTTGCTTGATGAAAAATGACGCCTTGCATTAGATCGGCTTTGACATGCATGATGTTGACATTTTGCGCCTGATATTATCCAAGGGTCTTGCGCGAAACGGGCGCGAAAGTGCGCGAAACTGGCGCAAAAAAGCGCGAAACGGGCGCGAAAAAAAAAGTGTACCACTTGACCCTCTTGTTTTGACGGTCATGACGTGCCGCGTGTTTTTGAGGACCCTTTTTGCGCATGGTCCGAACAGAAGGCATGGTCCGAAGAGAAGGCGCCGCCATGTGGTCTTGAGCTTGTGGGGGGCATGTTGTTTCAGTCTGAGCCTAGCCAGTTCTTCCATCGCACCTTTTAGTTCATCCATTGGCTTCATTCCCGTTTTACTTGGACTCCCGGTGCGCATGTTTCTGGATTTTGTCGCGTGTAGTGTTCATGTTATATATGTTATGTATTTGCTTGTTGTGACAGTGGTGTTTTTGTGTTGAATGTTGAACGCCCTGCATGAGGATTCTTCGTGTGAAAAAAAATAATGCCCGACTGTTGATGTGGTGTTGTGAGAATTCCGCTATAGCTGAAGGTTGTTTGCTGGAGGTATCTTGGCCTATGAAAAAAAACGTGATGTTGAGGTGGATACTGTACTTTAGATTTACCCTGTCCAAAGCTCAGTTGTTTACATGTGCTGCGATGCAACCTATGTTGTCAGGCGTGGCTGTTCGAGGTCGTATTTGGCATGCATGCTGCACATGCATTAGCGTGTAACAAAAGTGTCCTATCGAGCCTATGGAGAAAGAATCAAGTTGATTACTATGGGGAGCCATGGAACTTCGGACACCTTTTTTCAGACCCCTAAAGGGCACATTTTTTGAAATCGGGCAGAAAAAATATGGTACACATTTTTGTGTACCAATGGGAGGTTCAGGAAATAATAATCAATCTACATCAACTAATAATATCAACTAATATCAAATAATAATCAAACTATATCAACTAATAATATCAACTAATATCAAATAATCATCAAACTAATATCACATAATAATCGAGCTGCGTCGACTAATAATATCAACTAATATCAAATAATAATCAAACTAATATCAACTAATAATAACAGCTAATATCAAATAATAATCAAACTAATATCAAATAATGATCAAACTACATCAACCAATGATATCAACTAATATCAAATAATAATCAAACTAATCATCTAATAATATCAAATTGTAATCAAACTAATATCAACTAAAAATCAAACTACGTCAACTAATAATATCAGCTAATATCAAATAAATCAAACTATAATCAAACTACTTAACTAATATCAAATATTAATCAAACTAATATCAACTGATACCAAATAATAATCAAACTAACATCAAATAATATCAAATAATAATCAAATTACTTTACTTCGTGTGATCCCCACCATGACATTTATACATTTTCTTTCTGGCAAATCTTCTGGCATTCTATCTGACATATCTTCTAACATTCTATCTGGCATAGCTTCTTGCATTCTATCTGGCATATCTCATGGCATTTTATCTGGCATATCTTCTGGCATTCTATCTGGCATATCTTCTGGCATATCTTCTGGCATTCTATCTGGCATTCTATCTGGCATATCTTCTGGCATACTATCTGGCAAATCTTCTGGGATTCTATCTGGCATATCTTCTGGCATATGTTCTGGCATATCTTCTGGCATTCTATCTGGCATTCTATCTGGCATATCTTCTGGCATATTATCCGGCAAATCTTCTGGGATTCTATCTGGCATATCTTGTGGCATTCTATCTGACATTTTATCTGGCATTCTATCTGGCATACCTTCTGGCATTCTATCTGGCATATCTCATGGCATTTTATCTGGCATATCTTCTGGCATTCTATCTGACATTCCATCTGGCATATCTTCTGGCATTCTATCTGTCCGGTGAGGTCCGTCGGTGCACACTGAGCTGGGCAGCTCGCAGGTTGAGGTCCAGCGGTGCACACTGAGCTGGGCAGGTCCCCGGTTGAGGTCCAGCGGTGCACACTGAGCTGGGCAGGTCCCCGATTGAGGTCCAGCGGTGCACACTGAGCTGGGCAGCTCGCAGGTTGAGGTCCAGCGGTGCACACTGAGCTGGGCAGCTCGCAGGTTGACGTCCAGCAGTGCGCACTGAGCTGGGCAGTTGGCGAAGAGCTTGGTGACGAGTTGGCAAGGTTGGCAAGGCGGAAGTGGAGGTGGAGCAAGGCGGAAGTGGAGGTCGGGAGGCGGAGGCGAGGAGGACGGCGAGGAGGACAGCTAGTCGAGGAGGAGGAGGAGGAGGAGGCGGGCATGCGCTCTGGTAAAATCTAACAACCCTCACCTGGCAGGTGGGGAACTACATCAACTTATAATATATATCAAATAATAATCAAACTAATTTCCAATAATAATCAAACTAATATCAACTAATAATCAAACTACATCAACTAATAATATCAACTAATATCAAATAATATTCAAATTCATATCAACTAATATCAAATAATAATCAAAATAATTTCAACTAATACCAAATAATAATCAAACTAGTATCAACTAATATCAAATAATAATCAAACTATATACATCAACTAATAATATCAAGTAATATCAAGTAATAATCCAACTAATATCAAATAATATCAAACAATAATCAAACTACATCAACTAATAATATCAACTAATATCAAACAATAATCAAACTACACCAACTAATAATAGCAACTCATATCTTTGATAATTCGAGAAGTTTTTTTGGACCATCGGGATGACTCTTCTGCCGAGGTTGGCTGGTGAAAAACTTGGACACTGGAGAAGAGAGGCCCAGGGGTTGGGGGGGCTAAATTACTGAATATGTCACTCACGGATGGATTTCGGGCGGATGTAATATACACATATATATATGTATTAAATATATTATATTATATGATATATATATATATGATATAGATCACATATATATATATCTAGCTATCTATCTAAATATATAATATGATATATACCTATACTTGGATCATGGCTACAAATTCTGCTCTCTTGGGTAAAGCTCATGGGTAACCCTCACCATTGAGATGGTCACCTTAAGTCCTCCGGGAGGGCCTTGCGACATGGTAGGTACGTGAAAAGCCACGAGGAGTTCGGAAAGCCGATGGATCCGAAGATGTTGTCCAAGGAAGCCAAAGTGGCGGGGGTGATTTCTTTTCGAGATCCTATTATGGGTCAAGAATGTGATTATTTGAGTTATCTGGTTAGGGTACCCTAAGTTATAGCTGGTATAGCTGGATGTTTATTCCCCTAAATATGGTCATATATCCTGGGTCAACCAAGTGGTTAGATACTGACTAACTAGTACAACTTAATATTTTGCTATAGACTTTGCCCTAACCAGCTAAAAATGGTATTTTTTTCGCGGGTATCTAAGATTCACAATGTTTTTTTTGAGATCTGCCCATCAAAGCCTAACTGGCCCATCCATGGAGCTTGGGGTATGCGCTGTTGTGTCATTCCCATTCTTGTGTAAAACGTGAAAAACTAATTTTTGCTAAATCACAACTGTTGCTACGTTAACTCATTGAAAAAAATGCATAGTGCTTGCTAAGACAATAGTGAGGTAAACCCAATGACAAAACTTACGACATTATGTTGGTTTTACCACATTATACTTACTGGCGAAAGATTCCCTTGTGTCAAGGTCCCCATTCTTTGCTGGATCTTGGTGAAAGCTCAAGTTTATCCCGGTGAAGTCCGAAATTGTCAGTGTAAAGCCAATATCAGTGCTGGTAAAATCCGTGTACTTGCTGATATGTTGGTGAAATTCCTGTCCGCAGCCTCAACTTTGATGCGCATCCTAGTCGGTAACTGGATAATATACGTTGCACCACCAGATACCCCTTAAATTCACCCTCTCTGAATCAAACATGGCTGGAACATCCGCCATTTGATGCCATGAGTTGTCTATGGAAGTGCCTGTTCTTGGTTCCGGTATTTTTGATTAACCATATTTAACCAAACCAAAAGTAAATCATAGACCCCATCCACTTGCCATCAACCCCCCTATCATATTCCCTTACATCATATGGATTCTGATGATATTTTCTCTACTTCCCCACAAAGTCCTATTCAATCCATTTGTAAATCTCATTTATTTCCATCACAGTCCGATCAAATTCCATTAGATTCACGTTAGTCCCTTGAAATCCCATGGAATCCCATTAACTTCCATTAAATTCCAGCAAATTCCCAGTTAAGTCCCATTAAATTCCATCAACTAGACGTAAAATCCATCAAAAATTATCAATTACCATTCCCATTAAATCTCATCAAATCCCATTAAATTCCATGTGTCCCATTAAATTCTGTGAAGAAAATCCACGAATCTCCACTCAAAGAAAAAACATCAAATTCCATTGAATCTCCTTCATTTCTACGAAAAGATACCATTAAATCACCAGTCAATACCCATGAGATTCCCAATGACCCATCAGCGGTCAACCAACTAGTTAGATACTGACTAACTAGCACAACTTCATTTTTAGCCTTTTGCTACGGTCAAATGAGTCCTAACCAGCCAAAAAAATGGGTATCTAAGATTGGCAATGCATTCTACATAGGGTATCTCCACCAACCCTCAACAACATTAACCCCCATCAACCCCCAACAGCCAACAGCCATGAGCCAGGACACTCAGCCCTGGCGCGCCTGGTGGCAGGAGCAGCGAAGACGCAATGAAGAGCTCGTGCGCGCCACGCAGGCGATGACGTGACGGGACTGCCGTGAAAAAATGTTTTTTTTAGTGGGAAAATGGAATTGAATTATGGCAAAAATCAGATTGTTCACCGCCAAAACTGTAGATGTAAACAAGAAAAGCAGATGATTTTGACGGCAAATAAACAGAGGATTTAAGCAAGAAAGATTGGGATTTGCTTCAAGGATTGCAATGATCCAAGCAACAAAGAAATGGACTTTAGCCTTGAGCAAAAAAAACACCATAAAACATATTCAACCTGAAAAAAAGTTGGGATTTCATCTGGAAAAATGAAGTTTTTTTTTCTGAAGAAAAACCATGATTTCACCAAGAAAGATGAGGAATGAACCGGCAAACATCAAGTGTTTTTTTTTGCGGAACATGCCAACAAAGGGATTTCACCATGACAATTGTTGACTAAAACCTGGGATTTCAGGCGTTGCAGTTGACGGAACATCCATCAATCATCATGAATCCCAAGTATGTTGTGATACTTCAGGGCTACTTAAGGTGAACCGACCCATCCCCATATTGGAAGGAACACATCATTTCACCATGCCTCAAATGCCACAGTCCCAGCTTTACACGACCCGACCCTGGCCAGAAGCTGATTAGGTTCCAGGATGCTTAACTATTATTTTGTTGTACATCTATGCCAACCTGGCAACGCAAATTGCGAAGGGTTGATGCTTAACTTACTTTTCCCAGATCTGGGCTAAACCAACTGTAGATGTGGTCTCTGAACATAGGGTGGGCCCCAAGATCCTCAGGCATAATTTTCCTTAGGTCGCCTTGCCCATGCATTTGGGTCGACCTCGTACCTTTTTCAGGGTCATGTCCCTATGGTCCACAGCTAGATCATGGAATTTATTGAAGGGCGAAGTATTTGTCATTCCAGGAAATGTTCGTATATACATGTATATATGCCATATACAAGTAATTATACTTTATAGTAAAAACATTGTAATTAAAAACAATGATGGACTTAAAGAAGCCACTGAATGAAAATGATTGGGGTACAGTATTTCCTCCGCTTTGTTTGAATGTCGCGACCCTTCCCAAAGCCATACTGCAATAATTTCTGCATGTAGAAAGTTGCTGGTAACTGTTAGAACTTCTTCAAACTGGGATATCATTGGAGAATACTGGAGCCCCTATCCTTGCCTATCACCCCTATCCGTTGTGAGACTTCAGTGACGATCCCAGTGTTTCCTACAAGTTGAAACGTAGACTTCCCCATGGCGTTGCGTACCAAAGTGGCGCTGCTTTGGGTGTTTCTCGGCAAGACGTGTTGGGTCACGAAGTCAAAACCCTGGTGCCCGGATGGTACCCCAAACTAGCTGGGATTAATGGATATTTATTCGTCAGTCATATGGTAAGTTCATAGGTAACTTGACACATGCCCAGTTGGACATATTTTGCCAGAAACATTGAGCAAATTCAACCGATTAGGCCGTGGTGATGCCAGCAAGACTGCAAAGGTGGTGTTCCCCCAGCTATAAACGGGTTACAATCCCATTAACTAGAGATATATCACCATATAACTAGGCTATAACCCATAGTTATTGGACTTGTTTGCACCAACTTAGATATGGGGCACCCGCCTGGATGGATTAGCATTTACAGATCCGCAATCCGCTGTGGGGAAACGTCGAGGGTATTTCCGGAACTTTTTTGTAGGGTAGCAACCAAGGAGGAAGGGGCCTCCGGAAGCCCTCCCAGATGGTATCTCCTGGTTATGTGTGTTGATGGTTATAGTATTGTACTTAAAAAACATCAACTATTTATAGATATATCTACTATAAACCCAGTGAACCTAGTTAAGACATGTTAAGCAGCTTAGCTATCGCAAACGGGGCCCCCACCTTGTACCATCTTAGGTTTGTCTTGTTGAATGGTTTCGTGGGTACCTGGGTACCTCGATTTTGAGAGACATCGACGTTCCACGGCCCATGGCCATGTTGCTCCTACAATGTCACCATGAGGCATGAGGTAGCCAAAGATTCAAGCACCCAAGTACTGGGTAGATTCAGATCAATAAAGTACATACTCAAAATACACCACTCAATGTGTATGTACTGTATATATATAATATAACAATACATATATATATATTATGACTAAAATGGCATGTATTTCGATATATTTTGTTTTTTGATGAAACAAGATGAAACTTGTGTTGTCACGTCTTCTCAGGATGGCATGGACCCTTCAAGTTGGCCACGGTCCTTCGTCGCCTTTGTGGACGCTGAGACCACGAAACGAACTGGATCAAGCCCGTGCATCACGGCATCATCTGTGTTTTCGCGGTATATTTTAAGGCATTTTATGGGTATCATGCCAAGGACAAATGAAGTATATAAATGGTGGATATGTTATTAGGATTTATTAGGGATATATATATATATATTATTGTTATTATATTTTTATAAATTATAGTTGTCAATTAATTTTCTATTCCCGTTTGTCTAAGAATTGGGTATATATGCGCCCCAAGTTGTGGCATTTTCTGGGTGAAAACTATGATAAACCAGTAGATTTGAGGGTGCCATAGGGTAGCATTTTTTTGAGACGAACCACTATGCTATATTTTGATGAGAACACGCCTCAAAGGTCGTTTTATATATAATGTTCGATATACACTAATGATTTGTTAATGGAAAAAGCTCTCTGGTAATGAAACGTGGATTATAAACCAACTTATAACTGGGGGTTCCTCACCTTGTGAAGTGGACGTGCTGAAAGTTACTCTTCACTTCGTCTGCGCATATGAAGGCGGGTATCTATACATGTGTATGGATGTTACATGATGTTACTTTGTGTGGGGTTTCCATAAATGGGGGTACCCCTAAATCATCCATTTTAAAGTAATAGGATTTTCCCCTATAAAGCATCCATTTGGGGTACCCCCACTTAGGAAACCTCCATATACATGTGATGGTAATTCATTCTCCCCACACTGACTTATCCTTCATTATGCAGGACTCATCATGATAAGCCACTACAATGGCTGTCTCATCAATCCTCTGGACAGCATGGCAACTAACAAAATGGGATGGAACAAAAACTTATCATATGGCCATTATTACCCATAGGATCCATGTATGGTATATATGCTAACATTTGGGGTATATTGATGGCAAATGTCACCATATATAGCATACATGGATCCTATGGGCTATGGTTCAAATTTCATCACAACTCAAAATTCGATGCTTGACCAGGTTATGGCCAAAGTTGTGTTTTTATTTCCCCAAACAGTGTGGCCACACTGAGGGGTTCTTACGGTAACAGTTAAGGCCCGGTGTTTAATCGAGGTGGTAGCCGGCGCGTCCGGCATTTTCCCTGTAAATTTCTGCACAAGATGGCTCTTGTGAAATGTCCATGTGCATTTCGATTGCGCAGGCTCGCACAAAACAATGTCCCCGGAGTTGTCCGTCATTTTTCCTCTAAATTTCCATGCAAGATGGCTCTGGTGAAATGTCCGTGTGCATTTCGACGGCGCAGGCTCGCACAAACCGGGTGTCGCGGGATTAGCGGCCGGCATTTTCCCCGTAAATTTCTGCACAAAATGGCTCTTGCGCAATGTTCATGTGTATTTCGATCTTGGGATCGGTCTTCCTCCTCGACATCATCCTCCTCAACATCAGCATCTTCCTCCTCCTCCTCCTCCTCCTCCTCAACATCCACATCATCATCTTCCTCTCCCCATCTTCCTCTCATCATCATCATCATCATCATCACCATTATCATCATCATCAACATTAAGATCATCATCAACATTCTACTACATTATCCTTTTATTCCCCCTACACAGTTTGGGTCTCTTGCCGGGATAATCCGCTTACCTACGATGGCCTTTGCAGAGCTTCCTCAAGTGGTAAAGTAGCCATGAAGAATCGATCTCGATGCTCAAGAACAACTGGGCCTCCAAGAAATTGGATGCACGCAAAGGCAGACCATCTATCTACAAGTACTTGAAGTTCAACACTCCTGAATAATGATCAGTTTCTCGAAGTTCAACGCTCAAAATGTCCAAACGGGCTCAGCTTCGTAAAGTTACCCTCTGGTAAAATAAAAGTTCACTATGGAAAATCTCCATTGTTAGTGGGTAAATCAACTATTTCTATGGCAATTTTCAATAGCAAACGGAAAAATTACCAGAGGGTAGTAATACTTAATCAATGATGAACGCAACCGGTTCCTTGCGTTTCCATCGGATGTCCCGGCCATGTCCGGCAAAGAAAGTCTTTGGGCAGCAGAGTGTGGCAGGATGATGTGATTGTGATTTTTGCTCAGAAAAATGGAGGAACACCATGGTTAAACAGCACAGATTTGAGATTCACCTCATTGGGGTCAAACCACCAAAAAATGGATTACAGCACCCATTAAAAAAGGTGAGTTTGAGGAACAAAGTCGGGTCTAGCAAGAGCATCAAAAATGACGTTGCCGTTTTCTACAAAGTTAAGCTGGTGAATATAACTCCAATAACTATTGTTTTTGATACACATAACTAAGAACAATAGTATAGCTGGGTAGGGGAGGGCCACATTGTACTTCCACTACAATGTGATCTAAAGTTAACACCAGCAAACTGAATACCTTCGGTAGTCTAACATAGCCATGGAACAGCATGTGTAACAGGTGAATCATTCACAAGCAGGCCTTGTTATTGTTAGCCTTGCTCACCCATTTTCCGCTGCAAATTGTGAGATTCTGTTAGATGACCAGAGGTAAAGGTCGGATAGATGGATGTGGTGAGTTGGAACGGAGGTTTCCAATCCATAGGGGTACCCATGGTAAACCACCCAGCTATTGCCGGGGTATCCACGTTTATGGAAACCCCCATATATATATATATTAAAAAATATATATAGATAGATAGATATGCAGTATACATAATTTACATATTAATACATATTAATACATATTAAGACATATTAATACATAGTAATACATATTGACACATATTAATACATATTATATATGATATAAATTTTAAATATACCTATTTACCATGCATAAATATCATGCATACATATGATATATATAACATGCAAATGTTTGATAATCGTACATACATACATGGTCATATATATATATTTATTGTTTAAAGATATATATAAATATATGTTATTATATATATATGTACACATAAAATCACACATTTATGTTTGAACTATGATCATATCCGGTCATCAAGTCCCGCATCGTTGAGGACGCGGCGGAGCTGGCGGACTGGGTCGCTTTCTGCTGAAGGCCAGGACCGCTGGGCTGGGGGCTTTCTGCGGACGACCCTTTCGGAAATTTAGCTGGAACTACAACCGTGACATATTTATATAATAGTATTAATTAAATATCAGTAATTATTTATAATAGTATAATTTATTACAAATCACTTTTTATTGAGTAGTGATTAAATACTGATATGTTAGTATTCTATATATATATATGTAATAGTAATTTAATAGTAATTATATCATAGTGATAAATTACAATGATTTACTATTTATGAAATGCTTAGTAAATAATAGATTATAGTGTCTAAGCATTAGAAGTAGTAAATCGTATTACTAAAGTAATTTAACATATTACTTTGATCAATACCTACGAAGCATCATTCAATAGTTGCTATGTATCATTTTTATTATTGCATAGCCACTCTTTGCTTATCATAAAAGTGATACTAACTTGTGATCATCATCCCTATTATTTTTCAGTACCACTATATTTTATCAAATCATGATATGTATATGTATGTATATATTTATATATATTCAGTGCCAGTGTGAGGGCGGTGATCAATATATATATATATACATATATATATATACATATATATCATAACGTTACAACTAACTATTATTATTCATATAATGATCATGCAGATAGTGTTTATTGTTATCTAATGTTCTATAGTACTTATTTGTAAAAACGATACTGATAATGATACCCCACGCGGAGTACTGGGATGTGCTTACACCTCTTCAATCGCTGGGCCGTGTTCCATGGCTGCTCCAATCCATGTAAATGATAGCCACAAGGGGGGCTAATTGAACATGTTGCCCCTTTATCTACCCAGTTCTTGTATAGGGGGTGTTTGGAGCACAGAAATCTTCCAAACGTCCCATGTTTGCAGATACCCAGTGGTCTCTACACTGTGGACGGTAAGAAATGGGTTTACCGCACCCCTGTTTTTGGGTAAAATCTTTGGGCCCTCATATACCACCATTAATATACCTACTAAGCTATACCCAATTCCCCATGTATTCATCAACCATCATACCCATATATTTTCCACTGGCTGTACCGTTGTTTTATCTACAATCTCGCAAACACAACAAACACAATCTATATGGGAGATGTATGTAAAAAAACACGGTCAAAGCGGTACATTCTACAATTATTTGTGTTAATCCATATATATATATACAAATATAATAAGTCACAAAAGATAGAAAAGTAGTGTGTGTATATATATATATATGTGTATATCTCATTATTTCAGTGGGATTACTCCTTACCATCTTTTGGGTGGTGTTTTGTACATATATATATATATACACATTATATCCAATAAATGCATATCACAGATGATATCTGATATGGGATATATATATATATATATGTCACAGATGATATCTGATATGTGATATACATATATATATATATAGTATATACATATTACACCTATATCCATCATGGTTCATAAGTAATCCTTTTTCATCCTGTGGCCGAGAAAAGGTCCGAAAGTCGCGGAAACGGCGGCTGCGTTGTGGTTCCGCGGATGCCGAGCCCTGGCATTTGGAGATTTCGCTGCCCAGCGGCCGTTCAGGATGTGCTTTGACTGGGAGACTCCCCGGTTGATGATTACCATCCTTCAGGTTTTATTTCATTTGGTGATTTTAAATGATCCAAAGTTTGGGAATATCATTGATATCATATAGTATCATGGGTAAATGATGGTTAGATAATGATTTAACCATCAGTCAATAGGGGTATTAATCATATTAATCATTAACATATGGAAATATAAGTGGATATAACATGATGTAAGTGATAAATAATGATTGGTGGATGATTGGTGCATGATACTCATGTTTATTGGGAATTCTAAAGAGTTAACTGTGTTATTGGGGATGATTTGACAAGTGAATGATGCTGACTATCGGGGATTCTACTACTCACCCATTTTTCATGGGGAATATCGCAATCAGGGGAATGCCTATCGACTAAGCCCTATTTTCAAGACTGCTCAGGTGAATATTTTCCATATTTGTCCATAGTATATGGGATAATCCTTCCCATTGACTTTCATATTTTTCAGAGGGGTTAAAACCACCAACCAATACTTTATTTTTCTATTTGGTGGTTGGGATCTAATTCTAGAGGACGGCATCCAGGGCCTCCCTATCTTTGGGGAGCCAAGGAGTTTCCGTACGAGTTTCACCACATAGTTAACTAATCTTTGACAGCCATAGGTTTAATTATATGAGTTACCCTCTGGCTATTTAACATAGACATAGCCATGGGAAATGGCCCATTTATAGAGGTTTACCTATTAAAAATGGTGATTTTCCATGGCGAGTATGGTACAGTACAGGTTTCGCTATTAAATACTAAACGCGCACACATATATATATATATGTATATATGGACCAGGGGTCTAACCCACCATAAATCTAAGTTATGCCAAGCTATGTATTCTTTCGAAGAAACCCCATAATGGGGCCAGCATGTTGTTGCTGAAGCAAAACATACTGTGGTCATAAGTAGGCAGAATCATGCTTGGACACTACGATTTCCGGACATGAGAAGAGGTTCACATTAGCCTCCAAAACCGTTTGAACATCCAAACATCCCCCTTCCTGTTTGTTTTGGCAATTCAACAAGGTCTTGAGTGTTTTTCTGAGGTTCCCCTCTCAGAAAATAAGGTATTATACCAATCCATTGCTCACACGTTTTGCTTCATATTGGTTTGTCCAAAGTAGGGTACCCCAATAGCCAGTGAAATCAAAACAACTTGTTCTTCCAAACCATATAAATTGCGACAAGATCTAGTTGTTTTTAATGTTTCCCATAAAAAGATAGTGTCAATTAATCTTAATTACTTCATATCCCAATTTTATCAAATGTTTTGTTCATATCCAAGTGTTACCATATGTGTTTGTCTGAAATCCCAACAGTTTATCATCATATTTTTCCTATTGAAATTGCTAAAATTGGGAGTTTACCCATGTTTAGACACACCTGTATGTTCCGATTGGACGATGTGACGATGTTAGAAAGTCTGTGTTGAGATGAGGAAAGCGATAGAAACTAAGCTAAGCTATGAACATTTTGGGACACACCCATATTGTTGATAATATAGAAGAACCCATCTCATATTGCTAGTATGTGTATATATATATATGTATATATATATATGTATATATATATATATTCTGATTATAGAAGGGTTGGTAAATGCCTTTGTTTTTTCGCATCACCCAACTAAAATCATGATGATTCATCTCCACCCAAGCTGGACATTTAGCAACCCCTCACATGATCGTGCTTGAAACCTTCAAGTAGATCATCTTCCATTTATAGATGAATCCCAAATCAAATTACGATTACATATTCTATTGATATTTATATTAGACCATCTTATATCATCAAATAGATATCTTCTATTTGATTTATATCATTTATAGATCATCTTCTATTTATCAAATTTCTCATATTGGTGATGTTTGTAGCATACCCATTAAAAGTTCATGATATCTCCACGACATCACAAGACGGCCCCCAGTTACAGGGTACCATAGTGCCATTGCAAATCCGGGGTGATTTGCACCAACTTAGCTATCATATGCTATCATAAATCAGCAACAAAAATCCCATGACATCTGGTTTTTTGCTGGTTAAAGATGGTTACCCTCTGGTAAACATACAAAAAACTATGGAAAATCGCCATTTTTAATGTTAATAATGGGAAAATCCACTATGAATGGTCATTTGCAATAGCTATGTTAGTCATTACCAGAGGGTAAGTTTAACCATGTTCCTATGGGTTTTGCTGGTGAAATCCCCATTTTCCTCTGGGTTTTGCTGGTGAATTCCTCCAGGTTTCCAGTGCTCCCCCGAGTCCACCGTGGGAGAACTGAAAGTCCGGGCACAGCAGTTTTTTCGACGTGGCTTTCTGAGGTGCGCAGCGGTGCGCAGCGCGCAGGATGGGAGGATGACATCCAGATGAAGAGTGAATAGTATGGCAGTTCAGGAGGGTTAATAGTGGTCAATTTTATGCTGGTGGTGGTTAGTTTTATGCAAAGAAGTAGTTATTTTCATGGTTAATCATGGTTCATGAATAGTTGTTAGTAATGATTAATAATGGTTAAGAGTGGTAAATAGTGGTTCACTGACAACAATGGGTAAGGCGGCAAATCCAATAATACACCATCCCCAACGGGGGTTTATTTGGGTATACGATATACCCCTATTTCGGAATGGTGTAGAATGATCCTAAATGGTTGGTTAATCGGATGGTTCATGGCATTGGTTTATCACATTAGATCAATTTAGTATGTTCAATAGGATTGTCAGGAAAAAACAATCTAGTGTTGGATAATAGACCACCTTTGGGTTGGGCTGAATCCCCATTATTTGGGTCGGAAGATAGGGGGCTGTATCCCATTGTATCCGCTGGTTGATCATCATTATCACTCCTAGAATGGTCATTTAGGGCCATTTTGGGTCTATAACATCTGGTTGGTGGTTTGGAACAGTTTTTATTATTCCATATATTGGGAATACTAATCCCTACTGACTTTCATTTTTTTAGAGGGGTTCAAACCACCAACCAGACATATTCTCAGACAATCCACATTTTATTGAAACCAACAGAACTCATCAGACCTGTTCAACAAGTTATTCTTCTGCGTTAATGTCACGGGCAACCCGATGATCACAGTGGAGAAGGATGCGGTAAATGTTGATGAAGCTGTTCGTTCTTGTTCTTAGTATTTTTTGGTAAGTTTGCTTGGGAGTTTATATAATCACTATTTTTCTCAAGCTACCTTAGTTTGTTTTCCTGGTTGAAAGAGCATTTTTTGGTTGGAAACATTCCATGCTCGTTATGCACACATGGTAAAGGGTAGTTTTCATGGTGTGTTTCCTCTGAATACAGCATACCCAGCTATGCATATATATATATAATTATATATATAGAATTCTGTGTAAATGACAGCGTTGAAAGGAAAGCAACCGTGAGTGAGAAGACTTTTCTCAAAAAACGGTAAGCCACTACACAATACGTATATAAGAGTGTATATATATATGTATACGAATTGATGTTTTGATCTTTTGCTGAGAAAATCATATACAAACAGAGTATTTTCCAATGCCATCTTTGATTACCAGAACGTATACCCGGATACCCCAAAATGGCAGTTTCTGAATGGGACAACACCAATGATTTATGATCAATCAGGAGAATCTGTCCACGGCGTTACAGGTCGGATAGTGAGGCCCAAAAGGGCATATCTATGCGTGGCACACACGTAACTGTACTACAGTGGATAGGTCAGATTATTCGTACCACTAAATTCCTATAAGATTGGATTATTTGCTCAGTCGGTCAATCTACCGTGCTTCTAAATCTATAGTTTTTTTTGCATGTGTGTAGATTTATACCGATACGGACTGATATGTAGTGATACATGGCGATTAGGATTAAACGAAGAAACAGCCAAGCTAGCAGATATTTGTATGATATTTGTCATTGAGGGTCGCTAATTCTACGGCGATTTGCTGATGTGAAGAGATCCAGGTTGTTTTCGAAAGATCGATGCCTCTCTCCATGCAACTGGCTTGCACTCAGTGTGTGCCCACCATAGTCATCCATTGGAATGAAACCAGCAAGGATGGGGAATAATGGACCATTTGCAGGTTGATTGTTTCATTTTGTTAATCATGTATTTATTTCCCACCCCTGCTAGTACATGGGACGTTCCCTAACTCAGACTTGGTTAAGTCTCGGTTTATAAATGATTATCATATGTTATCATAACTCCCATAGTGTGTGAGTTAAATCCAGATGTTTGCTGCTCAGCTTGCTGCTCAGCTCCCATTTTTTGATTACTACATCCCCATTGCATAAGCCAGCTTAAATCCTGCTGTTTCACCCGTAAATTGCAAATCACTTCAAATCCCCAATTCTTCATGGTTAATTTGATTTAAATACTATGATTATCTATGATTCATTTCAAATCACTGCAGATTAATCACTGAAATCCCTATGAATCCTCCCATGAATCCCAATGTGTTGATTGTTTTCTTGCTCTAGTAACTCTAGTAGTTAAAGCATGTGAAATCCCATGATTCTCATGGTTAAATCACGCATTCCCCATGTTTTGTTCCCATCTTCCGCATGTTTTCCAGCCCTTTCCACACCGCACCCGCGCCCAAGGCGAATCTCTGGCGGGTCTCCGCGACGAGCATCTCACCGCCGCCGTGGCCAAGGTGAAGATCGCCGTGCCGCGGACCGAAACCAATCGAAGATGGGGAAAAACAGGGGGGATGAACTATGGTTAACTATGGTTTACTATGGTTAACACTATGGTTTACAACGTATATCAGTATTTTTTAATGATATATATATATATACAATATATATATATATATGTATACATATACAATATATATATAATATTATAAATATACGGTCGGAGTTGGTTTATAAGGTGAAATCCAGGGTTTCCGGTAGATCTAGAATATAGTTTTCATGGGGAGATGACCACTAGTGAAAGTGACGCTAGTTTCTATGAGATGTTGACTATTTTGAGTTTATGAGTTCATAACACTATTGGTAAGTTTCTATTAGTAGCAACTTTTGGATGAAACTGCCTTTAGCATCCTTTAGCTACAAGGTGAAGCCCTCTTTAAAGTTGGTTAACTCTGGTTTATTGATGTTTATGGACTGTATATGTATACAGTTCATGGTTTTTAAACCAACGACCATAGCTGGTGGGCCTCAGCTACTTGTATTGTGCATATTTACTAGAAGTAGTGGATATTTACATATTAGGAATCAACATTATGTGTAGTAATTATTGGATGAAACTAAAGAACCAGCAGAACTGATGGGCAACCCTTTGTGCAACATGCTATTTCAGGACTTTACAATATCACATTCTGAAAATGGGGGTACCACTTCTTTCACCAGAGACTATTGATGGCCAGTGTTCACCAGAGATAAATCTGGATCATGACGTCACTGGAATGATGGCCAGTGTTGGTATAACCTATGATTATCTGGGGGATCAAAGAATCAACCCCACTGGCTACACCTTGGCTTCGCCAGAGATGTAGCCATGCATTGCTGTCAAACATTGAATTGACATCATAGACAAGAACACATTAATATGTTTCACATCTATCATGTAGTGTTTACCCATTGGCTCAAAAATACACCCACACATTCTCATCCTCCGGTACGCCCCTGGATGGCCCCGGTTTGCCATGTCAAAACCTCTATTTGAATGGTTAAACCCAGTAAATACCAAGTAATAAAACATGGAATTTCATGGTTTACAAAAGAAGTATTTCCCAACTTTCCTAGGTCTTGGCGCCTTTTCAGTTAGTTCTTGGCGCTCGCGAGTTGAGGCCAGTCTTGCCGCCTTTTCCATTTGGTCTTTCAATGGTCCAGTGGTGGTTTGGGGGAATCCTCACAGCGGTGGAGAGAACTATGACGCGCCTTGGGTGAAAAAGCCACGGCTGCACGTCTGAAAATAAAGTACCCTTAGAAATCCATGGGTTAATGGTCATTAGCCCAAAATAGAACTGACTCAGTTTCAGACATCCAAAGTGGTGCTTCCTAGCTGCTAGCTGGCAACCCTGGTTTAGAAGTAGGTTAACGGACTGGTTTGTGGTAAAGTTGGGACAAAAAACAACTTCTACTTGGGGGAGCACTATCTTGTGGGGTTAGTTGCTAAAAAAAAAGTATAACTAGATAAAACTACCCCCAAATGGGATGAGTTGGGAGGCTTTGCATCTAAAACAAGGTCCAAAAATCTCTATTTTGTAAGGGATTAATGCTCTTGAGCGACCTCAGCCGAGCTAGCCCAATGATGGGTAAATTCGGGGCATCAAAGTGGCGACTGTTCCAGCTTCAACAAAATTTTTAGCCAGATAGATTGGTAACCCATGATATGTCGACTGTGATCATGTTGATGGCCGGAGTCATTGTTCCCAACGTGGGCCCGCCCCCCGAATGGCAACTCAAAGGTAAGCCATTGAAATTACTCCACCCCGACTGGTGATTAAAAGGGGTTATGAATAAGTTAATAACCTACCTGGTGTATTGGAGGTGTTGATCCAGAATTAAGGGATATAATATAGATATGAACCAACCAGTATAATATCATAGAGATCCTATCCCTAGTATGAATAGAGGTTGAATCAGTACGATTTCATCCTTATATCCACTATGAATCATGAATATAAATAATGTTAGTAAAGCAATAGTAAACCATCCCACAGATGGTTTTTTTTTTCGTGTGGTATAAACATTAATTATAATAACCCATCAAAATATGGATGGCCTATGTTTGCTTTACCAACATTGCCCTTAAATAAATACGGGAATGTTTTATATTCTATTATTCATTGAATATCATTAAACATATCCATAATTTGATGGGATGTGCATCACCATTAAACCAGATTAGCGTAATATTAATCATCATTAATCCATATAAGTAAAGATATCCATACATGAAAACTGTCATAGCTCAGGTGGAGCATTTGCTGCAGAATGTGCAGCAGATCAAAGCCGCTGATACCGCCTTCGCCGCCATCCTGGGCAATGGAAGCGTGGTCACGTGGGGAGCCGCTAGGCTCATGATGTTTGATGATATTTGACGAGTTGAAGGGAGGGAGAGATGAGATTGAGATTGGGAATGAGCAAGTTCTAACCCCATTTAGGGACTGACAAGCACTTTTATGTATATATATATATACACACACATAATGATAATAATAATGATAATAATACTAGTGATAATCATAATGATAATGATAATAGTAAGAATAATAATAATGATAATCATAATGATAATAATATAATATAATATAATATAATATAATACAATATAATATTAATATTAATATAATATAATATTATATGAAAATAATAATAATCATAATCATAATCATAATAATCATAATATTAATATTAATAATAATAATAACAATAATAATAATAATATATAGCCAATTAAAACTGGTAAAGGGCTTTAAGTGTGGCACCTGTTGATTGAGCAAAACCTGAACATGTTGGTTGTCACTTTATTACGTTCATCGATACCCTTAGCAATATTGTGTCTAGAATCAAGATATAGACCTTGGTGTATTCAGACCCAAAGGTATGCTCATTGCAAACTACCGGATTACTTGTATACTGTAGCGGAGGGTATGTTCATTGCAGATGACCAGATTTAACGCATTGTTTCTCAAAAGCCCTGCCGAGGATCCAACTTGGGGTGGTTTTAGCGATGACGTTGTGCTTCAAAACGTGCGAAGCTTGCCTAAATTCAGAATTGGGACATGCTTAATCGTTGCGACTAAAAGAATAAAGTCTTGTATCCTTCAAAATTCTTATCGACTACTTTTCTATTTCTTGCGGTCACTATATTTCCTCCATTTTCCCAAACAAATTGGAGCAGATGGATGCCTGGATGTGTGTAGATATGGGGATTTCCTAAGTCATGGGGGTACCATAGCTGGATGGTTTATACTGGAAAATCTGATTTAACTACGTATATTAAAACGAATTATTTTGGAGTATCGCTATTGTAGGAAACCTACAATATGTTTATGTATACTATACACGAAATTCGTATATTCATCCAATATGCAACTTTATGTATACATTGATACATTATATATTTATATATTAATAGAGATACATATTATGTACATGTATTTACATTTATTTACCTACACGATATGTGTAATTATGTTACAATCATATCAACTATACTGTTGCAAATTCAAATTCATTGTCTATGTCTATGTAATCCAACACTTATAACCAGGTGATTGTCATTTCACAAAATGGAAGCCATGGCTCATTTCTGGATGATTTACATTGATTTGGAGGTTTCCAATCCATGGGGGTTACCCCCCAAATCATCCATCACAATAGGATTTCCCATTATAAACCCTGGTATAAACCCTGGTTGGTGGTTTGGAACATTTTTTATTTTCCATAATATGTGGGATAATCCGTCCCATTGACTTTCCTATTTTTCAGAGGGGTTGAAACCACCAACCAGAACCCGCCATTTTGGGGTACCCCCCATTTTAGGAAACCCCCATTGGCCTATAAAAAATGCATCTCAGCACAGGATCGATCAGTGGCTCCAGCACCTCCTTCGGTGCCGTCTTGCAGAATGGTGGCGTGGTCACATGGGGCGAAGGTCAAGAGGACCACACAAATCATATCAAGTTGGGTACATTATATATATATACTAGGTCAATCTTAGATGGATACTTTAATCCTGGAGTAAACTAACATACCCTCTGGTTATTTAACATTGCCATGGAAAATCCCTTAGAGATGGAGGTTTCTAGCTGGGAAAATTTTCGATTTCTATGGGTCATTTTCCATGGCTATGTAAAATAACCAGAGGGTATATATAATATATACCTATCTCCCTTTACAAACCCCAAACATAGCCACATGTCACATTGTACCCCCATCATATCCCGATGTTCAATTGGACACCCCGTTTTTTTTTGGAAACAAACTTCGTGATGTCCGCAGTTCCCCTTTTTCGTTCTCTTTTAGGACATCCAGGAGGTTCAAGATGAGCTGCACGATGTGCAAGAAATTGTGGCCACCAGCCACTTGGATCCAATGAGCTTGGTGAGCTGCTCTGGGTAAATGACGAGTTTTAGCCAAGAATTAGATCTAATTTTCCAACATGGGTGTGTCTGAAAATAGAGAAAACCCCATTTTCCCAATGGTTTTGCTGATCATTATCCCGTTTTTAAATGGTTATTTGTTTGGGAATATACCCTATTTTCAGACAAACCCACATGTTTGATAAATTAGATGGTCAATTACCATTAATCTAACTTTTAGATACTTTTAGTAAAATATGATAGGCCCTCTCGCCCCACATGTTTGATGGTCAACTTTTCCCCATGATGGATGAGACCAATCATGAAATACATTACCAATCTAACGTCGCACCTAAAGAATCCTCAAGACTATATCTGAATTACAGTAAACTCAGTAAATAAATATATATATATATACATATTCATGTACACATTGAACATGAAAATTCTATTTTATTTTTCCCTATATGCATGATGATCATTTACATTTACCCTCCGATAATCAAACGTGGCGTGCTGGAACATCCACCATTTATAGCTGATGGTTCTAGCTAGAAACCTTCATTTATAGAGGGGGTTTCCCACATTTTCACATGTTTGATTACCACAGGGTATTCAACTATCCCATTATCATTGTCCGATTATTAACATCTATTAATCCATTAACATCCATTATAGAACCATTATTAATCCACCATTGCCCATGTACATGATGATCGACTACATTATTGCAACCAACGCACTTGCACTATACTGCAGCTAAGTTTTCCTTAACCCAATTGATACAACTACATTTACCATAGGTTCCCTCTCATTTCCCCATGTAAAAACGCGGTGCATCACTGCGCTGAGGCACCGCCTTCTGTGCCCTCCGCTCTGACGGCAGCGTGGTTACCTGGGGCAACCGTGAAATGGGCGGCGAAGTGACGCCACAGGTGCCGGAAAAAATCAAGGGCTTGGGGAAGTTGGGATTGGTTTACAGTGGAATACATTGATTTTGGTTAGGATAAACTATTTATTTATGGATGAGCTGAGAATAATTGGGACTAGTTGGGATCAATTGTTGGGATACTGTGGGGATGTTTTTGCTTTGGTAATATATCTATTATGGTATTCGTTTTTTTTTCATCTAATACTATTTACTGCCGTTGATAAATAGGATGATAACGATTTACTTCATGCTTAATAGGATTGATCGGGACTACTCGGGATTTAGAATAGGGTTCACCCTTAGATAGGATATTAGATTAGATTGTATATTTCTTCAGGACAAATTTGTTTGAGTTAGGATTAGCATCGTGTAACTATCTAAGGATTAGTTGGGATGGATTGGGATTAATTGTAATGGTAATGAATTGTACTGCTTGTAATGCGTTTTGTAGTGGCACTATAAGCTTCGTAATTCCCCAAACTTGATTTTTATTCAGCACTACCTATTTACCTAAAGATTAATTGGGACTACTTGGGTTCAATTGTTGATATACTTGTAGTATTCATGGGTTTATAATGGTTTGTAAATTTGTTTGACTTAGGATGAACTGTTTAAGGACTATATACTAAATCTATATCTGCGAATTAATTGGGATTGTTTAATTGTTTTGGTTAGGATCAACTACTGAAAAGCATAAAATGTAAGCAACTATTGGGATTAATGTTGATGGTTTTTCATGTTTACACCACCATGGTAAATTTTGTGGATGGCTTACTATTGCTATTTGCTCACTTGAATATCATGAATTAGGATAATCCTTTCAGTTCGGATCCACTATGTATTCAAGTGTTAGTTCAGATTACTTAGGACTACTACATAATTACTTGGGACTATTTGGCATTGGCTGGGACTAATAAGGTCTATTAGATTTACAATGGGATAAATTACCTTACGAGGTGAGGACCCCAAAATGATCGTCGAGTTGGTTTAGTTCGCTAGGTGATTTTTATGGTCTATGGTAGGTGAATCGAACTAGCTGATTGGTTTATAGATTAATTGTAGTCAAAATTACCTTTTTATTTGAGGATTACTCTTGGGATTAATTTGGACTGCTAATCATAGTGGTAATGTAATGAATGGTGAATTGACATGAGCTGTGACCCAAACCCTGTTTTTTTGGTTGTCTTAATCATCAAATACAGTGGTGATAGTCTTGTCGATGCCCATCATTGATATTGATGCGTTGGACATATAGCCTGATATAACCCGTAAAATGGCCAATTGGGACTACAACGGGGATGTGACTATGATAAGTTGGGGGAAAAACGATTAATCACTGAAATTTGGGGTACACCATTTTCGGACAAACCATGACAAACCATACCTGGAACATTTGGGAGAGCATTTTGTTCATAATCCTATTTTACTATCATATATTGCCCAACTATCGTCATATGATATCCTCATTCTATGTCCATGATAATTGTTGGGTTGGCAGTCTACCCTTGATCCCTGCCGCTGGGTCGATAGGTGCGGAGAAAGTTGCGGGAAGTTTGCCAAGTGAAAGCTTCGGGCGGCGCATTCGCAGCCATCCTGAAGAGTCTTGGTATCGGGACGGCCAAAGTTTAGGTAAACTGGTGGCGGTGAGGAGGAGGTTGTCAGCTGGTTTGTAGCTGGGAATAGCGTCAGAAATCATCGAAATAAATGTAAATTGGTGGTTTTCCAGCGAACCATGTTTGATTACCACCAGAATTGTTTTTTTTTTCATTGTTTTTGTCTGGTTTCATTTCTTGGTTTACTAAAGTTGGGAAAAACCAAATGATAGCCAGCAAAAAAAATGCACATCTTGTCTTGAAGGGAAAATCAGATAGCCATCGCAAAAAAAAACACATGAATGTTTGATCATCCAGAACGTGCCAAATTTGGTCTTCTCGGCGATTGTCCGCTTCAAATTCTGCCCACTTTTTGAGCAGAAACAAAGTTTCAAAGCCCTGACGCAACAACCATCAAATGTGCCACGCATGGAAATGGAAACAACAATCAACGGCAAAGCGGCAAACTAATTTGTGTATTAGTGTGGGAATGCAGCAAACCGCATGTTGTTTAGTAATGTGTGATGAACTTGTTGATCATGAACAGCCATAGTATGGGGATACTGATAAAAGCACGAACCGTTTGCATTGCGTCGCAAGTATATTGTTTGGCTAGGCGGTACCAAACCTTTCGATGTTCTGTGAAGGCTTACATGACGGTTCCATACATTTCTCATTAAAGATACTGTACATTCTATGAGAGAACAATCGCGAATCATTTATTGAATGGGAACTAATATAGATGAGAAATGATGGGAAACAACTTGTTTTATTTTCATGTTTTTTCATGGGAGATACCAAAAATACCTGTGAAAATTCTGGTGAAGAGAAATATACCCAGCATCGAGTTCCGAGTTCCAAGTTTCATCGCACCAGGAATGGTTCAGTGGTCACCTGGGGACATCCCAAGTACGGCGGGGACAGCGACATCGTGGAGCAGTTGCGTCAGCTTGGTGACCAAAAAATGATGGCAGTGGCTGGGATGTTCCATGAAAAAAAACCATCCATTTGGGGTACCTTCCATGTATGGAAACCCTCATATGTACTGAGTGATAATTAAATTCTGGTTATTTAACATAGCCATGGAAAATCACCATTTTTAATAGGTAAACCTTCTACAAATGGGCCATCTATACCATGGCTATGTTGAATAACCAGAGGATATTCTGGATAAAGATGGATAAAGCATGTTGTGACCTCACTCCGACGTAAAACTGGAACGATGGGCATAGGGAGAATCCCAGAGCCTAATTTTTTTTCACCGCGACAAGGTGGGGCCCTGAAAAATAGGAATGTCATGCGCCCATCTAAGGGGATTTGATGTGCTATGTATATAGACTATAGAGATGTAACATGATGTAACATAGTGGATATACTGTGGATATGGCGATACAAGTGGACAGCCTTTCTGGGATTTTCTGTGGGACACGTGAGATTTACGTTGGAAACAAGCGCGATCGCCGGGATTTTTCTGTGGTGAATCATTGAGCCCCATGATTTGAACCAAGTGACATGTGCCCGATGCTCCTTTGACCACGTTTTTCAGTGACATGTTGGGGTCACCACTTCTTGAAGCAGCTCTGTTCAAGAACCAACACATTGAGCTGTGCAAGAGAACCAACTCTAGGACATCCCAAGGTTTACCCTCTGGTGAACATACAAAAAGCAATGGAAAATCACCATTCTATAGCTGGGAAAATAACCACTATTTCAATAGCCATTTTCCACCAATCCGCTGGATGAGCTTGGCATTCCTGAACCTCCGAAGTCGTTTTACCGGGGACCAGGTGAGTCCCCCCAGTTGTAGCAGTTATAGTTTAAAAAGTAGCCAGAAATAAAAGATATATATATATCTACCATAAACCATAGAATTCACTTACTTATGATGCACCAACTTATAGCTATCATTCATCAACGATAAATGTCATGAATTCCACCATTTTTGCCGGTGAAATCGCCATGTTTCGATGGTTCATAAACGAAGTCCTCACCTCGTAGGGCACGCAGGCAACGTTCAGCAGCTGTGCACCTCTCGCGCCGCCTTCGCCGCTGTGTGCGGCGAGACAAGTTCGGTGGTCACGTGGGGTGATGCGCGGTTTGGTCTCTTAGCTGGATTGTTTTGAGCGAAACATATGGCGGTTTCATGAGGTTTCCGTTTTGTCACGGGGGAACCACAATCATCCAAGTCATTAGACTATGACTTGTTGTATTGAAACCTGTGGTGACTTGGGGATCCCCCATTTTTTACGAGACACTCATATATGTTAAAGATATTTAAGGGATCCTGGCGCGTGTGGAATTGAGGATACAGTCCAGCCAGTGGCAATCCCAAATTGCATATTAGCATGACAAGCGTGTTGTTTTCGTTTGTTTTCTTTTAGGTTTTGTCTTCTACTTGCAGTATTGTTTGCCTCTACCTCTGGGCCGTCTTCTGTCGATGTGTGTGCAGCGTCCATCAAGTATGTTTGCAAGTGCAAAGAGAAGTCTCTAGCGTAGCATCACGTTTTTTTGCAACTGCAATAGAGGCCTGTATCATAGAATCTATATTGAATCTATTACATATATATATATGATTCTTATATGATGTTTGCAAGTGCAAGAGAGAAGTCTCTAGAGCAGCATCAAGTATGTCTGCAAGTGCAAATGCACATTTATTATCCCACCCCACCCCTGCCCATACCACCTCATCCCCTACCGTAAACCATCACGTGGCATGCTCTGTGTCAAGAAGTTCAAAAGAAGATAAACAGCGGAGATGAACATAAAAAATGAGCACACATGTAATCTAAACAGCACTCACTACACGTACGTTGGGCACCAGCAGGCATAATCAAGGATAAACAACCGCGTGTCAATGTAAATTTATACAAGTTCATCTCAATTGATCTCGCTTCACCTAAATACATCTAGTGCTTCAAAAACACATCTTACGTGAAAAGCTGGCAGGCATTGCGCTGGATCATTTGGAAGGAAACACTTGCGATCCGGGATGATGAAGTCTTTGTTTGAACTCTATTTGTTGCTTCTAGTCTCTAATGATTCTAATGTTGGCTGGATTACTGGAATATATTGGGTATGATTCTTTGTATTACATGGTGTATCTTGGGTATATTGGGTATGTAATACACCTACGTAAGTTGTTTATTGGGTATATCACATATCACTGGAATATATTGGGTATATTGGGTATATTTATATTGGCTGGATTACACCTAGGTAATTCTAGGTCCAGGATTGGGCATGCTGCTCTCTTTGGGATGATGTAAATATACCGATCCACATTGGCAAAACTTCCACTGGTTTTAACTCCCATATCAACAGCCTTTAATACTTTAATTATACGTACCATAATTTTCATTATTGCTATTGTTATGAGTATTGTTGTTGTTATTATATATCATCATATATTCCATTATATTCCCATGGTATTCCAATCTTCCCTGCTCAATTCATCGTCATTTCCACTGGTTCTTGCTGGGTGTTTTTGTTTAGGGAGCTGGGTACTGAGGTGGCGACAGCAGTATGGTACAGCATCAGCTAAGAATCCTGGAATTCTATTGGGGTTATCTGAGCCATGACAAAAAAAACATACAAATAATGTGGGCAACCCAATGATTAACCTATATACCCTTTGGAGATGGTTTATAGCAACAGGGGAATGGTGTATTGTAAGGTTTACCGCATTATAGATTTAAATGAATTGATATATGGTTTCATGTTCTATGGTTTTGTCAACAGTTTGGTAAGAATCAATGAATTGGTTTACGGCAAAATCTACAGGAAACGGTGTATTCCAAATTGATCCAAATTGATTGGGAATTCCGCAGGATTTTCCCTTGAACGAATTGCGGAAGAGCATGATACGAACATATCAGGATTTAACCACCAAAAAGTTGGTAACACTATAGTTCTGGGTCGTTATATCATTCTATCTATAACATTCTATCGGCCTTACTATACCTTCTACTAGTGGTGGATATTTACTATAAAGTAGTGATTAGTGGATATTTACTAATGGGAATCAAAACTGTTGGGATCAAAACTATTGGATGAACCGAATAGAAACTGATAGACACTCATTTTTGGGGATGGATGAAACTAAAGGTTCAAAACTGGGAGATATTCACCATGAGTTTCTACTAGCAGTAATTTGCCTATCATTGCTTTCGTTAGTGGTGTTTTGGGAGGGATGGTCTTCCAGGTATGGTCAGTTACCCGGTAAACTAAGAGTTTGCTATGGGAAATCACCATCTTTAATGGGTAAATCAACTATTTCTATGGACCATTTTCAATAGCTATGTTAAATTAACAGAGGGTATGTAGGTTTTGCAGTTTTGCACCATGGATTCTGGCAGCTTCAGGAAATGTGATGAAGATCAAGGCGTCTCAGAAGGCCTTCGCGGCCATTTTAAAGGACAGCGGAGGCGGCAATGGAAAAATGGTGATTTGATAGGCTCTAATGGGATTTAATTGGATTTAATGGGATTCGTTGGATCAAATTGATTGAATTTGGGATCCAAAGGGTTTTGTAGGATTTATCTAATGTGACTGAATTTGGGATCGAATAGGATTTGATGGGATTAAGTTATATACAGTATCTGAGTTGATCTATACCACACATTTCTCTTGTTGTTTTCTGAAATATCAAACTATATCAAACTATCTCGTGGGGTTTATAAACCAACTTAGAATTGATAGGCACCACCTAGTAGCCGCTAATTAGAAATAATTCAGGGCAGTTCATAGAACTTCAAGGCTACAGTACCAGCCCAACGGTCACTCCCCAAGAAATTCTTGTGGGCTGCTATCAAAGAATCCATATCTAGATATTGTCGATATTGTGGTTTCCTGCAATGGAATACCCCAAAAAATGGATGGTTTATAATGGAAAATCCTATCAAAACGGATGATTTGAGGGTACCCCCATTTTAGGAAACCTCCATATGAATCTTCATGAAGTTTCCATGTGAAGGGATAGTTTTCAATGATTTATGATGACTGTCCCCAGCGGCTTGATACTTGGATGTGCATCCCAGTCAGTAAGTGGTCTACAGTTCTATATTATATATAATCCATCTATAAGCCATATATTATATAACTGGGTTATACTACGGTTGTCAACCACTTCCCCACTGGAGGATTCGACAGTGGTCTGCTGGGGTGACGCAAAATCAGGCGGCGATTGCAGATCTGTACAGTGGCTGGGTTGCAGCGTTTAAGGCTGGCTTGACCTTCCAGTAAACACACAAAACGTTATGGAAATTCATGCTTGTTTCCATGGGACATTTGATACCCGTCTAGAAATTTCATGTGCTTGCAGGCTTGCAGGTATCCAAGATTGGCCATGCAATCGGTCATGCAGTATGGTTGAAATGATTCTAATGACTTGAGTTGTGGAGTTGTGGGTTTCAGTGAGAACCCTGCAAAACCCCCTGTTGGGTTAGGATATATGGAAGATTCCTATGACTCATAACCAACACCACAAGAAAAACACCCACGATTTGCCACAAAACGCTTTTTTTTCATGTTTGCACATTGAGAATCTCAATCATCAAGTAAGATTTCCATACAATTTTCCTGGTGCTAGGAGTCTGAACATTGGGGTGAACCTATCCCACAAAGAACTGGTTGAAGGGAACAGATTCAAGAAATCCCTACTGGTAAATTGCGGTGTAAAGATGGGTAAAGCTTGCATCAGTTTCCCTGAAATTAACACCAAATAATTGTGATTGGCTCGAAACATATGGATCATGAATCAAAGTAAAATAGTTATAAAATAGTTATGACCCCTGTTCACAGAGCAATCATAAATCATTTCAGAATATGGCAATGTGTCCCATAAATATCCATAAATGACCGTGCAATATCCCGAAATATGGCAGATTGTCCCATAGATGGGTTTTCTCATTAACAAAAAACTCATTTTGGTGCTTTTTGATGAAACTTCTGGATGACTTGTAACGACTTCACTGCGTTCACTGGGACGTCATCAAAAACGCTTGTTATCAATAGGGGTATTAATGTCTTCCAAAATGACCTCATTTCAGGTTTGTGTTTTTTTTTGTTCAAGAGTTTTGTTTAATTATCCCTATTGTATTCTCACAAATCCCCATTAATCCAAATATAGCTCTTATCTACCTGTTTTGGGCTTTATGGGAATTTATTCCCTGTAGATTAGTAAGCTTGAAGCTCGGCTTATCAACGGGGATGAATTTGTCGGCTGTAGAGGACTGGCTTCGACACTTGGAAGACCACCCTTCGGTGTCATCAAACACGGCGCCTGCTGTAACCTCCCCCATTTAGTCCGATGTTTTTGTCCAGCTATAACTGGTTATGACTTCCATTTAGTTCGGCGATTTTGCAGTCATCCACGTTTGATAACACTGATGGGGTTATAAGTTAGTTTATAAACCCATTCACTAGTTCGAAAAGAATCTGATAGATCTACCATAAAACCATAGTTAACCATAGTTAACTGATTTTCCCATTTGGGTTTGTCTGAAAATGGTGTACCCCCAAATCCATTTGTTTATCTCCCCATTCAAATAGCATAAAATAACAATTTATATATATATAGAGGTATACTATCCATGTTCATCCATTTTCAGACTTTCAGACCTGGGCTTTTCCATAAAACCATAGAATTCATCATTTTCCCATCATTTTCCCATGTTTCATGGAAAATCCTGGGCCACCATTTTTCTTTTCCATAAAACCATATGGAACAAATCTTTCAGGCAAATGATTTTTTCATTCGGCCTGATGCATCGATGCTGAGTTGTCGTTCATGGATTTTCCCATGATTTTCCCATGATTTTCCCATGATTTTCCCATTATGACCCAGGTCCAAGCTGCAGGGCGTGCGACAGATCCGTGCCTCGGGCGCAGCCTTCGCAGCACTCTTACAGAACGGCGCCTCGGTGCTGCAAGATCTGGAAAAACCACAGGAAACTATAGGAAAATGAACATGGGGGATTTTCATGGGATTTGAATGGGATGTTCATTGGATTTTAATGGGATTTTCAATGGGATTTGATGGGGTTTAATGGTATTTCATGAGATGTAACATAATTAAAACGATAGAAAACTTATAGGAAAATGATGGATTTCACCAGCAAAAAATGGCATTTCAATACGGTTTACAGCTGATTTACTGTATGATAGCTAAGTTCGTGAACATGACTCCAATATTTTTTTTGGTACTTTTAACTATAGTATTCATGGGGCTTATAAAATCTTATAAACAGTAGATGTATTTGGTTGGTTCCATATCAGATATATCAATTATTTGTATGTGTCGTACTATTATTGTTATTAATTCTATTGTTCCATATTCAGTTTATACATTTGCCTCAGCATTGATGTCTAAAGATGTTTTAAGAACATGCAAGTCGATGCATACACAATAGATAATCGGACCCAAAAGGGCCACATAGATAGAGTTGATTGGGTTGGACTTCATAAGATTAGAATAGAAAATATTAGTCTTGGTTAGATGAATAGACATACCTTTAGATACACTTGTTGTTAATTTGCGGAAACTCATATCCGTCTCTTCGCGATTTTTCTCTCGACGAAAGTTATATACATATTAATGTGTAACATATCTTGTTCTTTTATTCCATGTGCTCCATGTACGTTCAACTGCCTACACTTGTGTTATTTAAGGCTCAACGGTTGGTACATGTAGAATACTGTATATCAACATACTCTCCACCTCTACAAGGTAAGGCACCCAGTTGTGTTTGTTGCTGTATATATAAACCCATTAGCTATAGATATATCTACGGTAAACCATAGCTGATTGGTGGTTCGGAACTTTTTTCCATATATTGGGAATAATCATCCCAACTGACTAATATTTTTCAGAGGGGTTGAAACCACCAACCAGGATATATCTACCGTAAACCATCGTTAATCTAGTTACAAACTTAGCTTTCGTAAAGGGGGGCCTCACTTTAAGTATCGGATTCAAGGACTCAACATATCAATCAACATCCAGCTTTGAAATAAAGCTTGGAATATCATCTTTGAAAATCCCAGATTCTATCTACTTCAGGATGATTAAATATCTATATATAATTTTGTTTTGGATCCATAGAATTCACCTAACTTAAATATATTGAAGGCCTCACCTTCATTAGTAATACACTCCTTTCGGTTTTGAGGTTCACCATATTCCTTGCTCAATGACCTGTCCAAGCTCCTACACTCCAGGAGATGTTGTGACATGGGGCAGTGCCACTTCGGGCGGAGACAGCAGAAGCTTGGACCAACCGTTCATGGGATAGCGTGACATCATGAGATTGTACTGTATACGTGCACACTATAAATAAATAAATATACTGTATACATATGATATCATAATACATATATATATATATACATACTGTATATATATATATACGCATACATATGTATATATGTATGCACATGTATTGAGTGTATGTATGTATCTATCTATCTATCTATCTACATTATATATATATACGCATATCTAGATATAGATGTCAACGTATATAGGTACATGTATTTACATGTATATGCATATGTATGTAATGACACACTCACACGCCTAATCATATACATGTAGATGTGTGTATATACACACACTCCGGCATACATGCCTACGTACGTATGTTTGTATGTACGATTGAAATTCCAACCAGTTTAGATGACATTCTTTTAGGGTAGTTCACGGGGAGGAAAAGCGACCAATGTCCATTGTATGTGTGTTTGTGTCAGTTAGTGTCCCATTATTATTATTGTTTTATATCATAGGCATTTCATTCAATTAAACACAGAACATGTTGTAATATGACCCCCCACTCAGTTAAGGATGTTGGTTGACCCTCATCCCACTATATTCCATACACCGTGATATCCCCATGTTTACCCACATAAGATTGGTAGAATCCCATGACATCCCATTATTTATACCATGATTATACCGAATTATACCAATATTATCCTATTACCGTACATCGAATTACTATCCAATGATATCCCCATCAATTTCCATTAATTCCATGTACTGTATTCCATTCTATCTCTATATCACCCTCTGGTAATTAAAAACTAGCTATGGAAACGACCAGTTTCAATTGGCAGATCATTAACCAAAACGGAGCATTGTCCATAACATACTGTTGAATTAGCAGAGGCTACCCATTATATCCCATTACTATTTAAAAAAAAATCACCTTGTATATCCTGTTGAATCTGTTGGGCTATTCAATATTTCCATTGCTATCCAATCACCTTGTATTACTATCCCATTATATTCACTCATCCAACTATATCCTCATTGTATCCCTAAAACACACAGCAGAGACGGCCAGAGGGCACTTCCCCACTGGTTGGTGGCCATATATTGCTTGAGCCACGAAATGGGGACTTACCAACTAGGCTTACTGTACTAACTTGGTTTTGTTCACTGGGTGATCTAATGGTTTATAGTAGATATATCTTTAATTTAATATCTTAGTTAATGGGGTTTATAGACCGTTCACATCACTGCTTACATGACACATGGAGTTAGTTATATATTTTCATAGTTAACGGATGATCATTGGATATGTTATTGGGATAGTCCGTTAAAGTTTAACCCCCAGTTACTCACCAGGAATCGCCAAAAAAGGTCTTTTCTCATGGCCCATCTAAGTAGACATGGAGTTTAATGGTCCATGCAACAGTTCGGGAACAGTTCGGGAACATAGTGATTAACCCACCTTGCTTAACCACTATTAACCAATATTAACCATTATTAACCACTGTTAACCATCATTAACCATGTATTATCGTCTATTATCACTATAAAGCCATATAGACCACCATTAATCACCATCAAGGGGGGGACCCACCTTGCATGCAGGTTCTGTGGCAGATCAGCTGCATCACATCCAGCAGATCAAGTCCTCCAGCGATGCCTTCGTGGCGCTGCGTGACGATGCGCAGCTGATCTGTGGCTCGGTGCTGAGCGTGTGGGATCCCCGTGAAAACTACGGGGAACCCGAGAAATATAGATGGAAAACATGAGAAAACCAAGAAACATGGGGGTTTATAGTAGTTTATAGTCTATAGTTAGTTGATAATGACGAAGTTGAGGTAATGTGTCTTCTTAGTATACATGTATAGTGCATGGGAGTTACTGTATAAACATGTATAAACAAACTTTTAATTAGGCCACCCTGCTTGTATATCCTTCGGGGAAAATTACCATGGCGGTTCCCAGCCATTCCCATATATATATATATATATTGTTCGCTTGTTTTGAGGATTTTGAGCTACCTTATTTGAATCAGTACCATGTTTTGACCCTGGCACATATATTAGCATCATTCTCATCATTACACATATTTTTTGATATGGTTTTGATAACATATATTATTAGGTCATCAATACATCACAATCTTTCTCCCTTCTGTAGATTCAATCCTATTTCTCTCTTCTGATAAATTGTGATTTGTTTAAAAATTCATGGGTCTTTGACCAACTTTCCAATTCATGAATGACACCGTTATTCCTGAAATGCCTCCGAGAGTGAGTTTACATCTTTCTCATTCATAATATCATTCAAAATATTCTATGACATATAGTTTCATATATCATATATATATACATCTAGTAGATCATCATTATATCATATACATCTATATACATCCAGTAGATCATCATTATATCATTACCCATAGGATCCATGTATGCTGTATATGGTAACATGAATCCCATCAATATACCCCAGTCATGTTAGCATTTTTCTACCAGCACCATGGATCCTATGGGTTATATCCATCGTTTTTTCCATTCCCAACGTTAATCAACCTGGATCACCTTTTCTCCAAGCCGAGGTTGGGGCAATCCCCGCTTCGGTGGGGATGGGCCTTGTCCCTCCGAGCTGATGAAGTTGTAACGATGACGTTTTGGAACGACGCCCGGACCCACGTCCTCAAGGTGTGATGAAAAGCTACGGATGTCAACAAAAACATGTGAAAACCATAGGAAAAACATAGAAAAACAATAGGAAAAACATAGAAACCATGGAAAAATGGTGATTCAACCAACAAAAATGTGGAGTTAATGGGATTTGAGCTGATTTATGATAGTTAAGTTGGTGAACATAATTCCAATAACTTTGGTTTGTGATACTTAACAACTATAGTTAATGCGGTTTATGAACCAACTTATAATTGGGGGAAGCCCACATTGTACTCCATGGTGTTGTGTTTGTCGTTGTTATTTCACCATTTGAGTTTGATTGAAAATCGTGGACACACCAAAATTGCCCGTTCAATGGACAAAACCATTAATGTTGTTTTCCCAACATGTTTATTTGATTTTACTTGTTTCAACAATATATATATATATATACATATATATATATACATATATATATATATGCATACAGTACACATATATATATAATATTATATATATTATATATATATATGCGTATATATGTATAATGTATATAGATATAGATATGTACATATATTTATATATATATATATCAATAAACACATATATAATATATATATATGAGTTCGTCAATCTATTTGTATGTTGAGCCACATTGATGTCTTGTTGTTGGTGCCAGACGGTGCGCACCATGGCTTTGAGACCATGGCCTGGTCGACTTGGAGTAGCTACAGTTCCCCGGATTTCTTTAAGGCATGTTTATTTTCCCAATCGAAAATCCACCATTGGAGAATCGATTCCGGGAATAATTATTGAAGTTACTCTCGCACATCCCAGGTTGGAATTCAGATGAGCAACTGGAAGAGGATGAGCGGACCAAGAGCTGTGGTGCCTGTGGCGTAGCGGAGAGAGCTGTTGTTTCAAGAGTCGCGAAAACCGTGGAGGACTCATTGACCCATCCAGATTTCACCGCGGAAGAAAAAGGGAGTGTGTTTCTTGAAACCAACAGATGGATGACATCATAAATCTTGATACACGTGGCAAACAACATTCATATAGGAATATGTAGCATGTAATAGCACCAATGAGGGAGGACCAGAATGATAATCCCAAATGTATCTTTTAATCGAATAGAATACAAATTATGGATTACCAAAATATGATGTTAACATTAGTATATCATTCATGTATGGTTCATATCATATCGCATTGATATACGAATGATGGATGGAGACCACAAACTATGACCCAGAAGAAGGGGGGCAGGTTCGGGAAGGTTTTCAGGGCTTTACCGGCTGCTCGTGGTTGATGTTTATATATGTTTATGTGTGTTTACTGCTTAAACTGATTGGGAAATATACAACACACAAAACATACTGTATCTAAAACTTATAAAGTTATATACTCGGCTAAGAATCCTGGTTTCTGCTTGCAAGATATCGATACTCGGAGACTCCATCGAGCCATGATTGGACTCCATCCCCGGAGCCAAGGCATTGATCTCAAAGGCTCCTCGGAGTGTCGGCAACTGTCAATCCGCCGCAGACATCTTCAGGACGACGGGAGTTTGCTTCGATCCATCGTGGCCCATGGCGGACCAACATTTCAAGAGGGATGGCCCAGAACGTGTCGCATCACAAAAATTATCTAAGTCGAATAAGATGAAAAAAACAACTTCATGATTCAAGCGATCCCATTCATCAACCATTTGGATCAACCGTTTGAATCAACCATGAAGGCTACAAGATCATCAACATGCGCCCGTGGGATGGTAATGCCGGGTCTCGGTGACATTTTTGCTTAACACATCGTAGTATTACGCAAAATTTCCCGAAGGAGTTGCCTATATCGAACTACAACATTAAATTAAATTGCCGTGCATTTCGTACTATTCATTCAATATGTTCCCATACTGCAAGATTTCGTTCCTCGAACTGGATAGAATTGGTTTCAAAGGGAAACTCCAAAAAATGTGCGGTAAAATCCAGGGTAAACCGGGTTTCAATGTTAACACATCAAAGCAGTGTTTCTTGATGGAACTCATCGCTGGTTTAGAACTACCACCACTGGCAGGAGGGCTAAGGAAGTCTCAAAAAATCCCATTGGATCCCATTGAATATGATCAAATCCCACTCTCCATAAACTCCCCATTCAATCCTATTATATTCCCATATTACTATCTTCCCATATTACTATCTTCCCATATTACTATATTCCCATATTCTGTTCCCATAAATCTCCATGGATTTCGATGGTAAAATACCAACAGATCCGCCGCAAAACACCTCGACCACCGGGGCAAAATTCGAGGAGATCTTTGGAGACGTCGCCGTCGTCCGCCGAGATTCACCTGCATTTGGCAGATGCCTTGAATTGCTCCTTGGAGCATGAAAACATGGTGGATGACCCTCTGGATTAATGGGATTTTATGGTGGTTTAATAGGATTTAATGGGATTTTACCGATTTTACCCTCTGATAAACATACAAAAACTAACATTGGCTGTGGAAAATCACCATCTTTAAGTTCGGTAAATCAACTATTTTTATGGGCCATGGTTTCAGTAGCTATGTAACAAATTACCAGAGGGTAAGAATCAAAAAATGGAGATTTCATGGGAATTCGATGGGATTAATTTTCCATGGGGATTTCATGAAGCGTGACCCGGCGATTTTGCCTAATGGATTTCATGAAGGATTTCCCCCAGAGATGGAGACTGCTGATTTTTTTCCAGGATCAACAAATGGTGAATTTGATTGGATTTACTGTACAGCTGATTGGGACTGGAAAACCCCAGAGAGGTGGATGGTTTTAACGGGTAAACCATCAACAAACATGTTCATAATGGGATTCAATGGCAACATAATAACAGGGATAGGAAACGATGATTGTTTCCTTCTGGTAACTGATGGGATTTAAGAGGATTTAATGCTGATTAGATGGTGATATAATAGGACAATCAAACGTCTGATGATGTGAAGCATCAACAAATGGTGATTTAGTCGGTTTAACATGGTTTAACCATCAACAATGGGGATCTACTATGAGGATACATCAACTAAGTGGCGGGAAAATCCGTGAAGATTACTGGAAGTTGA